GGGAGGGAGGGAGGGAGGTGGCGTTAATGCTTTCGCCCAAGGAAATAATGAACGGGAAGACGAGGGCAGAGAATTTCATCAGGAAACGGGTGCACTATCTGTCTCTTTGACGGCAGCTAAATGTTTTCGTTAGCCGCACTGTGCTTGTGGTCGAAGGAGAGCCGGGAGCAGGCGAGCAGTAGTCTACTAAGGGTCGAGGTGGAGGGCGCGGTGGGGGCTCGGCAAGCGTGTGGAGGGAGGAGTGGGATGTGGGAGGGAGGGGAAGCAATCCACGACGCTCTCGCTCTATACCTTCGATTGGCGCTCGGCATAATAGATTTGCACAACAGCGGAGAGTTTGTCGAATTGTCTGTTGGCCGTCATTGTAAACTTTCCGCTACAATTGGGTGTGGGTACTGGTTAAGTCTGTGATCGGATTGATTGATTGATTAATTGGGGGATTTGATTGAGGGGCTTCATATTTTGGCTGATCGGTTGATGTCGTTAGGCCGATGTATTGATTGGGTGATATTGATTGAGTCGCCGATTGATTGATTGATTGTTTGGTCGATTGGTGGATTGATTGATTGATTGATTGATTGATTGGATGATTGGTCGATCACTTGTACGAATAGCTTGATTGATTGATTGGTTGGTTGGTTGATTGATTGATTGATTGATTGGATGATTGATTATTCGTTTTGATTGGTTGATTGATAATTTGTTCTGTTAGAATCTCCGCAGAATCTCCGCAAGCATCTCTAGCGAAGCGGAGTTGTCGTCATGAGAGCGGGCTGAAGATACACACACCCATCCCCACCGCGTCTTAGATCCGTCGCAATAAAAATACTCTGTGACATCACAATAAAAATACTCTGTCACACCTTGTCACACACCGTGTTCTCGTTTGCACCGTGTTTCCCTTTGTAGATATAAGGGCAGAGGAAGGCTTATTTGTCGGTGGTTAAGGCAGGCTGATCATCGGATCAGGAGGGGGGGGCCGGCGGAGGGGAGGGGGCCGGAGGAGTTCAAGTGCCGGTTATCTTGATTGGAGGAGGGGGATCGAATTGTAGATTGATTGATTATCAGTGCAAGAAAGGACGGGTGAAAAGAAAAAGACCACGACGTCAGTTGCAGTGACCGCACCGCCCCGCGATGCCTACGTCGATGATTGGCCTATCTATCTCTGAGCAGAGTGGTGGGGGTGACGTGGCAGAAGCAGCGAGGCAGGTCTGCTCGTCCCCAGCGATACGTAGAGGCGGCGGGCGAGGAACTCGATCTCGATCTGACGGCGGAGGAACCAACAGTGTTTTGTCGCCGAAACCAGTGGTTCAGCAGGTGTGGAAAGAAAAGAGGCCCAGCGTCGACGGCGGTTGTAATCCTGGCAGTGTGGGGACCACAGGCACCGAAGCACCAACGCCAACGTCATCGACTTTGACCTCGCCTTTGACGAGAGGATCGGGATCGGGATCGGGTTGCGCCGATCTTCCTCTTCCTGGGGTCTCTACTTTTACTGCTACCGCGGTTGCTGTTAGCGCTACCGCTGTGCCTGTCAGTCGGCCGTTAGATTTTAAGTTGACGGACGGAGCTCGATCTGAAGGGGGAGAAGCAGCAACAGGAGGAGGAGGAGGAGGAGGAGGCAGATGCGGTGGGGCCATCTTTTCTAGCGAGGCCTCGATGACGAAGTCGCGGGAGTGCCCAAACTACGAGAGGTCTGTCGTTAGCGGCATCAGCAGCAACGTCGTCGGCGCGCGGAACGACGGGGAGAAGAGCGCGAGTGTGAGCGTGGTCACCAGCAGCGGCGGTAGCATCAGCGGTAAGAGGGACAGCGGCGCGCCTGCTGAGAGGGGAATCGCGGAATCAGTTGCCATCGCCGGTGCGGCTGCGGGAGGTGGTAATCAGGGTTCTGAAGCGGGGACCGCTGATACTACATCTGTTGCGGCAGGGATGGTTGCGCTGGGAGGGTTTTCTGACTCCGCCGTTCTTTCTCGGCCTGCGAGTAGGTCGGCAGCAGGAGCTGTCAGTGGGAATGACGCAGGGGGGTTGACTACGGACGGATCACAGGCGGCAAGCGCTGGTGGTATGGGCGTCTCCGTGCGAGCGATGGAAGACCGGACCCAGTGTCCCTCGAATTCAGCCTCGGCCGTTGGCGCTGGCAAAGGTTTCAACGGTGTTGGCGAGGACAAGAAGATCAATGGGGGGGAGGGGGGGGTAACGGTCCCTGTTAAACTGTCTGTGTCAGTTATAAAGGATCCAGGAGGCAAGTACGCGTGGAGGGCTAGAAATTCTCCTACGACGCCAGACAATCGGGGCGGAGGAGGAGGAGGAGTGGTGGGGGGGGGAGTGATGGGTGAAGGGGTGAGGCGAGAGCAAGACGAGCCGGCGCCGACTCCCAGGCGTCTTTCCGAGGTCCAGTCGTCAGGAGGAGGCGAGAGCGAAGTGATACCGTCCGACCGTGGACCGATCCTGCCCTCTCCGCGGAAAGCAGATGGCAGCGATCGTGGTGTAGGAGGCGGGGGGTGGAATGGCAGTGGGAGAGTCGTTGGTCGCGAAGAGGCTATCCCTGCTCCGTTGTTTGTTCCTCAACCCGTTCCTGGGACGTCGCTTGTCCAGGTAGGCAATATCTGGAATAAGAAGACCAACGTCAGGGGACACAGGAGGAGCGTGAGCACGAGTGCTGTTGATCTTCAGGTCGTCTTGCCCCGTGGGCCGAACGAAAGGGCCGAGAGGCATGAGAGGGGTGGGATTAGGCGACAGTTTCCTCCACAACCACCTTCGTTGATCAATGGCGGCTTCCGTGATCCTCTTGCGCAGCAGCAGCAGAATGTGCCGGTCGGAATGCAGCAAGGGGGTGGGGTTG